CAGCAAAAAACTGAATACCAGTCTTTATTAGAAAAGCAAAAATCTGATTTTCAATCGCAAATGGCTCAGCAAGTATCTACCCCACAAACTGTTGAACCGGTTAGACAGCCGAGAGGTCTACCATCTACATTAAAGATAGAAGAAGGTCTTAAGAATTATTATGTAGCCGAATTTTTAAAAGATTTAGGTATAATTAGTAAGGAAGATTTAGATACTGATTATCCTGTAAAGAATTTTCAAAGATCACGTTCACAACGAAACAATAATTCTGCTAGATTTGATAGGATTGAAGAAGGGCTTGAGGAAACTCAGAATAATGTAAATCAGTTAGCTAATCTATTTCAGAAACAAGCTTACATACGAAAATGTGGAATTTGTAGGGAAACGGGCCATAGTAAAGGAAGTTGTCCAAAAAGACTGATAGCTCAATCTAATTTCACTCAGTCATATTTTACACCTCTTAAACCAATAGTTCCTCCTGATTCAGATGGTGAGGAAAATGATGGAGATGGCTATGATGAAGAAAATAATATGTGGACTGGGTATATAGATGCCTGCCGAAACCTTCTCAAAATAATTTCGTCATACCCTTTTCTATGTTTTTAATATAGTTTCGACAGTTTCGGCTTTCGTCGTATCGAATGGGTTTCGTCGTATCCCTTATTATGATTTTTAATATAGTTTCGTCTAAGTTTTGACTGTTATTAAGGGGTTTCGTCCCTCATCTATAACTGGGTATGATCTACCGGTAAAAAAAACAGGTAAATGAGCTGAGAGGCGCTTCGCATAAGTTGGCCAGTGATACTAATGCAATCTTACCTCTAGAATCTAGCCAACCTGAAACATATGATCAGCTATTGTCTAAGCTTTCACCACCAATACGAAAAATGTGCTTATCTCGAAAGGCTCAGGAGGAGGAATCGAAAGAATCAGATGAGTGGTTATCATCTTTACAATATCTAAATGCTATTATAAATGACTTAACTATTTCTGAATCTTTTTTAGATAGCGCCAGTGAGTTTGGTGGTATAAATGACCTAGCAATCAAGACGCTTAGATGGAAGACTGATAAACCATCTAATTTTGCTATAAAGGGCAATTTCAAGCATATCACTGATTCATTAGGATGGTATACAGACGTGTCAGTTACTTTGAAGGATAAAGAAAATAAGACGGTTACAGTTATTAGAAATTTTGTTCGTATTGATAATGGTGAAACAGAACTAATGCTATTTTTGGTATGTCAAACATTCGAAAGATTCAAGGTGTCCTTGAGCCAAATAAAAACCAGTTTCACATAAAGTTACATGGAAAGGTATATATTATCCCAACCTTTAGCAAGGCTCCAGTAGTCAAGGATCTGCCAAAAGAGGAGCAGGACCAAATATCCACTGATTCCTCTAGTCCGACTAGAGAAGACTTAAAAAAAAGTGCGTAAACTATATAAAGCTTGAAGAACATCTTGCAAAGGCTGAAGAGTGGCTTGGTAAGGCAATAAGCGTCATAAAAATACTTACTGAAAAGTAGTAAGGATATATACATCCTCTGCCTCTGACGCTGATTCAAGGAATGGAATTACCGATGTCATCCATTTCTTTTAATACTTTTTCAAGTTTAGATCCCATCCTAGATATATTATCATTAGAGGGAATATAGTTAATAGTATCATCTGTCTCAGTAGAGACTACACTCGTTTTACTTAACTTCTTTTTTCGGCTATTTTTCTTTAGTGGTAAGTCATGTGGAGAGGAAGTAATACCTGGGACCCCTCCTATTTTGGCAGATGACATTATAGCAGATCTATCTGAGACCACTCTTTCAGATCCAGCAGAAATATCAGCTATTGGTTGATTTCAGGCAATTCTATTAGCTTCTTCGCCTCTCTAAATCTGATATATGCGCTTCATTAATGTGTTATATTTGGCCATCAATTCATCTAAAACTTTCTTTCTCAGCCTTTCATTTTCACGTTACATAATAAAATCATAATCAGCTGTTGAAAATAAAGGCATATTACAATTTATACGCTGTCTAACCATAATCACGATGATGTATTTTTTTCAGATAAAATATTTCAAAAAATATTAAATAGGATGACTAGAA